CGAGCGGCTGGAGCTCAAGGAGCTCATCGGCGCCGGCGGCTTCGGGCAGGTGTACCGCGCCACCTGGCAGGGCCAGGAGGTGGCCGTGAAGGCGGCGCGCCGGGACCCAGAGCAGGACGCGGCAGCGGCGGCCGAGAGCGTGCGGCGGGAAGCGAGGCTCTTCGCCATGCTGCGGCACCCCAACATCATCGAGCTGCGGGGCGTGTGCCTGCGGCAGCCGCACCTCTGCCTAGTGCTGGAGTTCGCCCGCGGCGGTGCGCTCAACCGCGCACTGGCAGCTGCCAACGCCGCCCCTGACCTGCGGGCGCCGGGCCCGCGCAGAGCGCGCCGCATCCCCCCGCACGTGTTGGTTAACTGGGCGGTGCAGATAGCGCGGGGCATGCTCTACCTGCACGAGGAGGCTGTCGTGCCCATCCTGCACCGTGACCTCAAGTCCAGCAACAGTAAGTGGGCGGGGGTGGGGAAATGGGCGAGACAGGACTCTTCGGGTGGTAGAGGCGGGCATCAGTGTCTCCACTCCTGTGTACCTCTTAGCACCGGCCATTAAGAACCCAGAGGTCCAGCTAGACTTTGTTACTTGCTTTGGGGCAGGTGACACTTACTTACCTGCATTTGTTGTTTTGGGCTGTGTTTTATAGTAATGCGGATCAGACTAGACTAAATTACAAGATACCTGTGTCATCTTGAAACCTCATGGTGCTGTTTGCCTTTCCATACAATAAGCGGTTCATTTGGATGGAACTTTTTTAAACTGAGGCCTAACTTAGATTATGAGGAACCCATGACCCTCCTCACCTAGTTGTATTCATCGAACTCACTCTCACCTTGAGCTTTGCAAATGCTGTGTTGTGGTCACTGTTTTCCCACTTTAAATATGACTTCGACTCCTTTGACATTTCTCAAGACTTTTTCTTTCTGACTTTTCTGCACATTTGAGTTGATTCAGAGCAAGTTTGTTGTCCTTGCACAAGTTCATTGTTCTTGCACAGGTGCTTGAAGTCCTGAAGACTTGCTCTCTGTCCGTTGTTTACTTTGTGGTGGATCTGCTAGATGCCAGGAAGGAGCCCACAACTGATGTGTAAACACATCTAGCTACTTTTGACAGTTGTCAAAGAGCATATAGAACTATTGTTTAAAGATGTGTTTTCAGTATTGAACATCACTCCATATTCTTAGAATGAAATGAAATCTCTTGAAAGATGAAAGGATGCAGGCAGAACTGGCACTGACCTACCACAGCTGCATGTCTTTCAACCTTGTAAAACCTGCTAGGACAGAAGGTAAGGCAGAGGGAAACACCATGCTTCCCCATGTGTAGAAACAAGAGTGACAGGGAGAAATGATATATTTGCTGTAGATTTTGTTCCCTATTCAAAATCCTTCAGCATCAGAATTTACTTGATTAAAGAAAGTTACAAGCACTTTTATTTTGTGGGTTATAATTAATTTGAGTGTTGGTAAGTAAGGTATTCAACATGTGTTGAGACACGTGTGTTTGTTAAATGACTCCCACTTCTCTCCAGTCATCTCATTTTGACTACAACTGCTTAAGTGACAGGAGCAAAGTCTAACACAAAAATGGCCTAGGGGACCTCCCTGGTGTCCTAAAAACTAAGTTTCAGCATTATCATTGCTGCAACCTGAGTTCCATCCCAAGGCCAGCAGGGAGCTGACCCGCACATGCTACAGCAGACCTCTCCTGTCTCGCCTACTGCTCCTCTCAGCAGTGTATTTTAGCAAATCTCCTTGTTTGGTTTCCCCACTCTGGTGAATCGTCTCATTCCTTCTACTTCTGGCCTATGGCCCAGTTCTCTATGCAAAAATAAATGAGTAAACTTACTAAATTAATTTGTCTTTAAAATGACAGAAAAATGACATTGGTGGTTGCATATTAAAGTTCGGACAGGCCTTAAGAATTCTAGATCATTTACTTTGGGACTATTACTATGTAATAGTAAAGACAGCACAATTTTCGCTACACTTATTTTGTAAATGCTTCAAACTGACAGTCTTTACTACCAACTTATGCTTATTTCCTAAAATCTGTTGCTTTTTGAAAGAAATGTTTAATTGAACCTATAGAATCAGTTTCTGTGCCTTTCTGTGGGATTCACAGTACCCTCTTCCTAGTGACATCCTGAAACCCTAGTCTGCCAGTTTTCTGAAGTACCAAGCCTACTAAGGAAAGTAGTAATCACCTTTACTTACGCTGTCTCTTGGCAGTGGCAAGTGGCTTGTTATGCATATAGAACGTGGCATAGAACATGGCAAGTGGTCATCACATCACCTCATAGGCAGAGGATTTCAGTTGGAGTAATCCTTAGACCAAAAAGTGAAAGGACCTGCAACTATTATTTTTACAATATACCTTATCTGTTTTGTTGGCTGTAATAATGCCTGAGGTTCATATGATTTGTTCAGAAGGTAGAGCATGCTTATTAGTGTTTTTAAAAGCAGAGCAGAGAAAATAAATCCATCTTCCAATCATAAACATTTTTTTATATAAATTAAAACACTTAGGGAACTAATGGTATTAGATAGTAAAAAGAAATAACATGCTCCTATAATAATAACCATGTTTAAACAGTTTTCATTGACACCAGAAAAACTTGTAGAGTGGAAAGTCGTGTACTGTGTATATGGTAGATATTATGTAATTTGAAGGTGATTATATGCTGCAACATAATTTTTGAAAGACTTTTTACTCTCTGAATAAATTGCCAAACTTCCTGGAGCATTTTAATCTCTTTAATTGTCAGGCAAGGTTGCCTTTGCTTTAAATTGTTGCATGTCTAAAAAGACTTAATTAGCACGGTTATTGGACTAGCCAAATATTTGTTACAATATGACTATTATTATAGTTATTCAATTACTCTAGCACCAACATTTTGAATAGATGCTAAAATGAGCAAATCATACTGCCTAGCACATTGACTTACCCTGGTTCTGTGGTGGCATTTATTTAAGTAATGACCGCATATACTTTGAAAATCTGTTATGATAATATGAAGCCTTAACTTCTTGTTCAAACTTTTGAGTACATCTAGATACTCTATTATAGTATGTTTTATTTGGCTATATTGGCTATTTGCTAATGGTGGTAGTGAGTTAATGATAATGTAAGCAAGTTTTTAAAAATAAATATTGAATTTTATTTTCATTCTGTAGTATATTCATGTAACAAAGAGGCAGTATAAGATGACTTGGAACCAAGTTAGTGGAAATTATTGTTTAAAACCAGTTTTTAAATTTGTCCAAGGAAGATACTGCTCTTGTTAGATTTCCCCCACTTTTTTTCTAGTGGGTCTTTTCAGTTTTGTAATATCACTTGAAACAATGTATATATTGAAGTAATAACTAATACATTGTGATGGGGATAACTTTGGCCCTTTTCTAACAGAGCAAACAACTGAAACTTGATCTAATCAGCAAGTGTTAATAAATCACTCAGGTTGTCAACACATGCTAAGCCCTGTTCAGTTCCAGGATGCAAAATAAGTAACATACTTTGCTAAATCGTCATATGCAACGACTAGGGAATCATGCAAGACAACTTTGATCAACTATGGAAACTACCAGTTTTTTTTTTTTTTTT